TGACAGAGGCTGACAAACTGGCTATGGGACAAGAACTGACTGTCCAAGTGCTACACTCAGTATTGACATTCATGAAGTATAAGGGACAATACTGGCCAACCAATGGCTGGATGGTTAGACATTGGGGGATGCTATGTAAAAATCTGCACATCCACTTGGAAGAAGTGTGGACCCTGAACCTGCAACTCTGCTGCTTGCTGGGCCACATCAGCCTGACCAGGACTGCACTGAGGTCATGGATGAAGTGTTCTCCAGCCAACTGGACTTAAGGGACCACCCCCTCAAGGGCTCTGACACTGAGTATTTCACTGACAGTCGCAGTTTTATAAAAGAGGGAGAACGTCTTGCACGATACTCCATGGTGACCCTAAATTCCATCACTGAGGCAAAGTCTCTGCCGAAAGGGACCTTGGCACAAAAGGCAGAGCTTATTGCACTGACCTGCGCCCTCCAGCCGGCAGCAAGGGGCACACATGAATGTACACACAGACTCCAAGTGTGCCTTCTCCACCCTCCATGCACGTGGGGCTTTGTATAAAGAAAATGGTCTAATAAACTCAAGGAAAAGACAAAATGTGGTAGAGAAGTCCTTGAACTCCTGGATGCTGTATGGGCCCCTAAAAGAGCGGGAGTCATGCACTGTCAGGGACACCAGAAGGGAGACACCGAGGCTGCCCAGGGAAACTAAAGCAGAGCGGGAGGCAAAGCTTGCGGCCTCCAGAGGAACAGCAGAATCAACGGCTATGGCTGCCACGCTGTTCCCTAGTCCACTAAGTGGGACCCTAATTAGTCACAACATGAGAGTACTTGGTTTAAGACTGAAGATAAAAGCTACCTCCCAGGTAGATGGTGAAAATGTGAAGACAACAGGTCATAATCACTGAGACACTAGCTCTGACTTTGGTCAGAAAGTTTCCAGGACACCCACATGGGCGGGAAGCTCTTGAGACCACTGTGGGTCAGCATTTCTATGTCCCCCGGCTCTCCAGTATGGCCCGAGTAGTGCGTGAACAGTGTGAATTACGCCTTGGGTGCAGAGCGTCCGGGGAGCCCCATTGGAAAATGTGCTTGCGGACTTCACTGAACATCAGAGTCCAGGGCTACACGCATTTGCTAATCTTAGTGTGCACTGTCTCGGGCTGGTAGAGGTCTTCCCTACCCGCTCGGAGAAGGCATCTGAGGTACCTGCTTCCTTTTGAGAGGTATCATTCCCCATTTTGAAATCCCTGCTACTATTGGGCCAGCATTTGTCACGGAGGTGGTGCAGCTGGTGGCCAGACTAAAAATTACTTAGAGACCGCGTAGGGCATACAATCCCCAAGGCTCCAAACAGACTGAAGAAACCAGACTAAAGCTGCCGAGGAGCAGACTGTCGGGAAACTCACCTGCGCTGGGACCTCCTCTTGCCAGTAGCCCTGCTGAGGGTTAGCTCATGTCCCACTAAACAAATGGGGTCCCCCCTATGAAATCCTCTATGAGAGGCCCCTCCTCTTATTAAGGGCCTTGGAGGGCCTGGATACTCTCACCCTGAGGCCACGGATGGAGGCCACAGATGGAGCCACTCTATAGCAGTCGGTTAAAGAATGAGTTTGACTGAAGATAAAAGTCTTTTTTTTTTTTTGGTACTGGGGATCGACCTCGGGTCCTTGCACCTGTGAGGCAGGCGGCGGAACCACTGAGCTAGATCCCCAGCCAACCCACAGTCTTTTAAACCAGGATACGCTGTGTGGGTAAAAACAAAATAAAACGCCCCACCCCTGAAAGCTGTTCAGAGGGGCCCATTTACCACTATCCTGTCCAGCCTGGTGTGGTAAAGGTGGCTGAGGTCGTCCCCTAGATTCACACAGTGGAGTGGAGCCTATGAGCTGACAATCCCAAAAAAGCCGGCCTGGACCTTAGAGTCACCATGAGAGACAACAGGCCTGCTCTAGCCACTCTGGAGGCTGACTGAGCGGGCACACAACAGAGCCAGAGGACACACCCAACTGGCAGCACGGACTGCTTGTGTCCCTTTTCTGTGATTGGCCACTGTTGTGTGCTGCAGTCCCTGGGTCTTAACTGTACTTGGGACTCTAGCTCTGATTTTTGCCATAGCCCTTGCCCAGACCGCCCCGGCCAGCTAGAAGTGTGGTGAGAGGTGCCCTCACCTTCCTCTTTGGGGAGGGTGTTTTATTGGTATTGGCTGTGTTTACTGAGGGCCCCATCATGTGACCAATGTGTGCGCATAACCGGGTCAGGCCAGGGAGTTACATGGACTTTATTCTACCACCCACTTCTCATGCCCGGGAAGGGTCCAGGGCACCCGCACACCTAACAAGACAGCCTATTCTATCTCCCAACAGGGGAATCAAAGTACTTGTTTTGACTACAGTACTCCTCCATTAAAGATTGGTTAGCTGGGCATGGTGGCATAGAGCTGTGATCCCAGCACTGGGGAGGCTGAGGCAGGAGGATATGAGTTCAAGGCCAGCCTGCACTACAGAGTGAGTTTAGGACCACCCTTAACTATATAGCTAGACCCTGACTCAAAAAAAAAATTGGTTAAAAGTCCAGTCCTATCAAGAAGAGGGGGATTTTGGTCAACTGGACATAAGTTGCTAACCCAGAACACCCAGTGTCAGTAACTTTGATGTGTGTGCGGCTATGGGTATTGGCCTGACATCTGTCGTACAGAAGAAACGGGCACTTGCCATCGAGGGCCCAAGAACTCTGGATACACCATGTGGAGGCTGAGATTCAGAGGGAGAACACCGACTCAGTGACATGTACACATGTGGGGAAGGCGGTTTACCTGCCCAGACTCCTGAGTTTTTATGCCCCAGCTGGAGCTGCGTTTCATGGGCTGCTTGGGAGAAAGAGGACACAGAAGCACTCCCTCAAAAGGGACCTGCTTCACCAGGTTGTCAATCAGCCTGTCACCCTGTAAATTTACCATATTAATCCAGGAGATTCCAGATGGTAATGGGGCATCTGAGCTGGCATCTGGATCCATGGGCAGAGAAGACCCAGGGACTGCTGTATTTCAAGAGTCACTACCACCCATTCGAGCCCATTCAACCACGTCCCATCAGATCTTCCATGCCTTTTATGAGGAAACAAAAAATAGCCCCCCCCCCTTTCCATCACAACCAGAAACTTGTTCCTAGCACTAGCAGAGACTGCAGCCCAGGCTCTAAAGCTCTTCTCTTGCTATCTGTGTGGGGGAACCAACATAGCGGGTCAGTGGCCATGGGAGGCTAAAGAATTAGATCCCGTGAATCTTATAGTCTTAACAGGCACCCCAACCCTGCCCCTGGGATTTGGCTTCTCAAGACCTCAGTCATTAAAAAGAATTGTTTTGCCCAATGGGAAAAAAGGTTCACGGTTCCTGTCAGAAGCCTAATGTGCCTCAGCCAAAGATTTTCTAATTTAACCACCTGGAAAACCCAATGGTGGGGGTCCCCAGCTTATCTTGAGCCAGGTCCCTATCCCTTGTCTAACTTCTCCCATCTCTGAGAGACTTAAAACAGTGTTGATGCAGCCATGGAATGGAAAGCCTCAGGCAGACGCTACTGGACATACAGGCGAACAGCCTACACTGCACCCCCCACCCCCCAGCTGGCCAGGCCTTGTATATTAAGAATAATCTGTCCATCTTTCCTGCTGCCACTTGCCCAGGGCAAGCTGCTAGGAGTCCAGGTGTATGGGGAAAGAGAAACTCAGAGAACCCGGCATGCCCTACAGGTGGGTAATTAACAGGATGATGAACGGCCTCCTAGCATATGATCCAATATTGGCCCTGCTGCCTGGGCAGCAGATGGGTCTTGGGACTACTGCACCCCCATTTACATCCCAAACCATATAATGAGACGAGCAGTTGTAGAAATTACAACTAATAAAACTGCCAAAGCCCTTAACTTGTTAACAAAACAGCAAACCACAATGCACAGTGCTATGTATCAGAACCGCTTAGCCTTGCTCCCTCAGACGGAGGAGTTTGTGGAAGGTTTAACTTGAGCAACTGCTGCCTGCAGATAGATGATGATAAGTCACAGAAGAGAATGCAGTTCAGATAAAAAAATTTAAAAAAAACCCTTCATGTCCTAGTGCCGACCTGGAAAGCCTGGGACCCCAGAAAATTGTTTAAAGGATGGTTTTCAATCTTCAGAAGATTCAACCCCCTCATAGGTTTGTGCTCCTAATGAGAGCTTGCCTAGCTCCCCGGGTTATAGTCTGTCTCCAGGCACACTGAGGCTTTGGTCAAAAGAAAAATGGCCACCACACACGAGACAATGCTCTTTGACCCAAAATAAGGGGGTCCACGCATCAAAGGAGGGAATGTGGCCGGCCCCTCGCGAGGGAGTGGGGAGGAGGCGAGGGAGTGGGGAGGAGAGGAGGGAGGACCCCATCTCAGAACCAAGAGAGACAGCATGGCACAGTTCCTACCTATGCAGGTGTCGTCCCAGTGTGCTCAGTGACGTAGATTGTACCCTGTCAGGCTGTAGTGTGTTAGAGACAAAGACACAAGAAGTGTATAAAAGGCAAAACTCTGCCATGATTGGGTATTAACCCACCTCATGAGCCCTGTGCTCTGCAATGAATGCTGCTTCCTGGGAAAGGCCTTAGTGTCCCATGTCTTCGAGAAGCCTCCTGCACTTTAACCAGTAGCGATGGCAGCAAGGCAAATAGTTCTTTAAGAAACAGGGTAGAGGGCCGGGGATTTAGCTCAGTGGTTTCACCACCTGCTGCGCAAGCTCAAGGACCCGAGTTCGATCCCCGGTACAAAAAAAAAAAAAAGAAGAAACAAGGTAGAGATGGTCAAAAAACCCCACTCCAGACTAGAAATTACCCATGCTGGAGCACAGAGTATGGGCACGAGACGAAGCGTGGCTTTTCTGGTCCATACTCCTGACCCTTTTCATGTAGTGATTATGTTTTTTCCTCCCGTGTCTAATTGGGCTTAATATTGTAAACCGTGGAAAGTGGACAGCTCGGGGCTAATGACTGTTCTCCCCCCTTAGATACACCCAGAAACTGGCCAGAAGAAACTCCCTGCCAGAAAAACTGAAAAAGCAGTCTTTATAACGCTTCTGGGCTTTGGGGACGATCTGTTAGAATGGCAGAAAGTAGTGACAGTAGTAATAAAAGCGCGGACGTGAGGCCCAAGACGAGCCGGAGCAGGAGCGCGGACCGGAAGGACGGCTACGTGTGGAGCGGCAAGAAGCTGTCGTGGTCGCGGAGGGCCGAGGGCCCGGGTGCCGAGGTGCAGGACGGGGACGGCGACGGCGAGCGGGGCCCGGAGCGGAAGCACAGCTGCTCGGCGCTCGAGCTGGACCTGGGCCACTCGTGCGGGCAGCGCTTCCTTGGCCGCTCTCTGAAGCAGAAGCTGCAGGACGCCGTGGGCCAGTGCTTCCCCATCAAGAACTGTAGCAGCCGCCACTCCCCGGGGCTTCCGTCACGGAGGAAGATCCACATCAGCGAGCTCATGCTGGATAAGTGTCCTTTCCCACCGCGATCGGACCTGGCCTTCCGGTGGCACTTCATCAAGCGGCACACCGTGCCGCTGAGTCCCAAGCCCGACGAGTGGGGCCGCACGGACCTCGCCCAGCGTGACCTGCGGGCCGGACAGCTGCCGCCCAGCAGAGCCGCGGCCGAGGCCCCGCCCTGCGCCCCGGCGCCCGGCTGCGCAGCCAGCCCGGCGTCCAGCAGCAGCGTGGAGGACAGCGACATGGACTCAGACGAGGACCTCGTCACGCTGTGCGCCAGCTCCAGGAAGAGGAACAAGCCCAAGTGGGAGGACGAGGAGCTGCTGCGGCTGGAGACACCGCCCAAGTGCCACACGCAGGTGGACTACGTGCACTGCCTGGTGCCCGACCTGCTGCGCATCAACAACAACCCCTGCTACTGGGGCGTGATGGACAAGTACAGGGCCGAGGCGCTGCTCGAGGGCAAGCCCGAGGGCACCTTCCTGCTCCGGGACTCAGCGCAGGAGGACTACCTGTTCTCCGTCAGCTTCCGCCGCTACAGCCGCTCGCTGCACGCCAGGATCGAGCAGTGGAACCACAACTTCAGCTTCGACGCGCACGACCCCTGCGTCTTCCACTCCCCCGACATCACCGGGCTGTTGGAGCACTACAAGGACCCCGGCGCCTGCATGTTCTTCGAGCCCCTCCTGTCCACGCCGCTCATTCGGACTTTCCCCTTCTCCCTGCAGCACATCTGCAGGACAGTCATCTGCAACTGTACCACCTATGACGGCATCGACGCCCTGCCCATCCCTCCGCCCATGAAGCTGTACCTGAAGGAGTATCATTACAAATCAAAGGTCAGAGTCCTCAGGCTCGACGCGCCCGCGGCCAGCCAGTGCTAGAGACCGGCCTGAGCAGCCCGCCTGTTTCCAGTCAGTAAACTACTCTTCTCACTATGCCTCTTTGAAGTTTTCTCAAGGGCAGTTGGAGTATAAAAGAAACCTCTGCCCAAAATTTTACTTTCACATCAGTTTATTTTTCTTATGATACACTAATTATTAAAGGTTATACCCAAGAGGTTAATAGATATTTTTAACCAGATGTTTGGTTTTTGGTTTTGTTATATAGATTGTATACCTAAATTTTTTCTTTACCTAATTTATATATGGTCTAGGCATCTCTGAAATTGGATAGGCATGCAAACACATTTGAATAGCCTATATTTTGTTTAAAAATAATCTTATTTGCTACATGTAAAATATTTCTTTAATCTATACCATCAGTATTCCTAAACATAAAATACTCTTTGCCCAGCCCCTTTTCATTGAGTTTTGAAATTCTTCAGTAGAGTGTTATAATTCACCTATGCTAATGTAATTCAGTTTTTTAACTTGCTAACAGGTATGTTAAAAGTAACAAAGTGGTTTCAAGTCAAATTTTGTGGGGTTTTTTTTTGTTTGGGGTGGGGTCTTTTTGCAATACCGGGAATCGAACTTGGGACCTTGCCCTTGCAAGGCAGGCACAGTGCCACTGAGCTACATCCCTGGCCCTAACTTTTTTTTTTTTTTTTTTTGGTGCCGGGATCAAACTCAGGAACTTGCACTTGAGAGGCAGGTGGTGGCCTAACTTTTTTTTTCAGACGGGATGTTGCTCTGTAGCCCAGGCTGGCCTTGAACTCATGGTGATCATCTTGCCTTAGCCCCCTGAGTGCTGGGATTACAGGCGTCAGCAAGCCTGGCTTGTTTAAAATGCTAACTGCCAAACAAGATCACTCAAGCTTTGATTAATCTGGCCAATGAGAATAGGACATTTTGGAGGTGCATTGATCCCAGTGGGGCAGGGTCATTTGTTACATTGCTCAGTAAGCCCTTCTCTCTGCCTTTAAACTATCTTCAAAACATATGTTCCTTTCTCCCTGGGAACTTTAAAAATAATGATAACATATTAGTAGATAGTAGTTGCTACAGCAACTGGTATTTTTCTGTATTAATTTATGAACTGTTGCCCGTATTAGGCCTTTTGCACGAACTCTGAGGGGGGGGTGGGGGACACACGACTCTGCCGTTGATAAATAGCCACAAACTTCTACTGGTAACCAAAGAGTACCTAAATAATGTTTTATTATTTTAAATTAAATTTGAGTAAACATTCAAGAAATAAACATGGAGCTCACTATTGAGAAAGCCTAATACTTTTTTTCATCTTCCAGTTTTGAATACTTTTTCCTGTCTTCAGAATTAACTTGGGGCCAGGGATTTAGCTCAGTGGTTCTGCCGCATGCCTCACAAGTGCAAGGTCCTGAGTTTGATTCCTGGTACCAAAAAAAGAACGGAATTAACTTACATCTTTAATGTGGCTTCAAAAAAAAAGAGCATTTTGACAGCTACATGGCTTGTATCATACCACACAGTAGGACAAAAACGATAATATTTCAAAGAACAGGGCAGCATTCTTAGAAACGTCATTAGCCCTGTGTAACCAATAATGATAAATGGACTGATACCTCTTTTTTAAAAGAATCAATGCTAATATGGACAGATTACCCAATTTCTTTTGGTAAGCTGTCTACCCCTTTGTACAAATTGGCATTTTTTAATGCAGTTATTTCTTTATGCTGGTTTAGCTAGATTAGGAAACTCTTCTACGTGGATTGGAAGAACTTTGACTCATGAATTTCCAAGTTAGAACAAATGTTTCCTTACCGTTGTTTTTATGTTGAGACAGCATTTCCCTGTCTTATAATTCCGCTGTTAACATAAAAATGGCGTTTTTCAATAGTGGCTTTAAAATAAATTTGTAGCAATTACAGAATCAAATCAGAAAGTCTTCATTACCATTAATCTTGTAGCCTTTGTGTTCTCAGTGGTCTCCAGATGGGCTGCGTCTCCAAGAGGAGAAGCTACTCTTCTAGCCGTGCTGGGGCTCGGAACACTGTTACCCACCTCCAGGGCCAGTGTCACATCTAACAGTGACGCTTACTTCCACCTGGGCAGAAAAGTCTCACTACCTCATCTTTATTGTGGCACTTTTGTCGATCCTTGAGAGAATCTTCTCTTATTAACCAATGTCAGACTTCCTAAATATCCATCTTTGATGAGAGACAAATAGTATGGTAAGACTCACCCATGATTAATAGTTTTTTATCAGAATTTGATAAGACTTTCTGTTTCCGTGAAACAATTATTTTAAACACTTTTCTTTTAAAAATAACTTTTTATCAGTACAGAAAAACCTAAGGGATGACCGACTAGCTTATGAATATTGTGTTAAAGGGTAGTTTTTTAAAGAAAAATGAAATATAATTCTGTTGTCTTTTATAGTGGTAAAATGTTTCTATGAATGTTTAGCTTTTCATATAATTCAAACTGAGTGCTTGTGATATATTTTCTCTAGCTTTTTAGTTCTTTTCCATTCAAGGTGTTACCAGCTGTTAACATTTCTAAAACAGTGCCGTATGCATAGCCTTGAAGTCTGAATGAGAACAGGGGAGATTCATTTACTCTGGAATGGTTTGTATTTTTCCTTGGCTAAGTGAAAAGAAATTTGGAAAGTAGAAATAGAAAGACTCGAGAAGGGAATTACTTATCATGAAGGAAAAGGGAAGAGTGATAATTTCTGCTAACATTTAAGGACTGTAATTTAGAAAGGTTACATACCCCTTTTCTGTTTTGGTGAGACAGTGGCATTTGGAAGAACATCAGTATGCAAAATGTAGCTTATAAAAAATGCTTAAAAATACATTTGTTGTACTATGTAACAAAAATGAGTAAATTTCAAGAAGAAAAATGTGATAAATACAGCGTTTGAAACATTTGAAAAGGGTATATTCCGGAGTTGAGAAAGCATTAGCACTGTGGAAATGTGTAGTGCTTACTGGTGAGAGAAACTGGAGCTAAAGAACCCAGATAAAATAATTCAGAATTTCAGCATCACCTCAGGGAAAAGCCTGACAGCGAAAGGGAGCCAGCCACGTGGTGGCTGATAGCCGGTCTGGACCACACTTAGCTGCGCTTGGGGAGACATTCTGGGTGCATCAGGAAAACTCGACTTTTCTATTTTTCTCTAAAGCTTTTCACAAATGCCCCTCACCCCTTTTAAAAATCATAACATCTTGGTTCAAACTGTAATTCCTGAAATATGCTGTATTTGACTTTTTTTTAGGTTCCTTCAATGTTTTTGTATTGAGTCATGCGTTCTTTCTATAACTGTGCCATTCACCTAAATAATTCATAAACAGTGGTTTAATTTAAAGGAAGCCCTAATAGGAAGATTAAAGGAAGCTTTTAGTCAGCCTGAGGCTGGATTTATTGATTTGGTGATCAGACCTAGGTACTTTCCTGAATTTCAGCTAATGGCCAACTGTGGTCAAAGAATGACTTTTCAGTGAAAGTTTTGATTTCTTCTTATAAATTATATAGAGTTAGTGTCAGTATTTAGAAATCCTTTAAAAAGTGGAACAAACGTACCAAATAGGACTCATCATTATACAAATTACATTTCTTTTTATAAGAAAAACACATAAACCTTTATCATTTATTCATGAGCCAAAGCCATTAAGAAGATAAATCAGGTTATCAACTTCCTGTCTCTGAAGTTTGGATCATTTTATAGATCCATGTAATAGAGCACTTCCTTCCTATGAAAGAAAAACCTTGACATCTAACTCTTATAGTCTTATTTTTTTATTTAAAATATTTCTTGCCATTTTAGCTAGAATCAGAATCCAGCAAGTAGCTTATTTGTTAATCTGGGTGCAACAAATTTCACAGGAAGGTAGACATAGATGTTCTTAGAGATAACACAGTGTTTAAATGTAAAATTGCCTGTGTAAAGTTAGGTAATTTAATGCCCAAGTGAATAAAAGATTTTAGGGCGAGGAATCCTCGTTTTTACTTTGGGAAAAAGATGTCTACCCTTTTTTTTTTTTTTTGAGACTGGGTCTCACTATGCCAAACTTGTGGCGATCCTCCTGCCTCAGCCTCCCAAGTGCTGGGATTACAGGCCTGCACCACCATGCCCAGCTGCCATTTTTGTTTTACACTTTTCTTACACAAGGCCAAGAAGCAATACTATTTTTGTTTTAACATAAGCAGTTTCCATTTTTATTTCTAAAGAATGAATAGAAAGCACAAAGGGTTTTTCTTAATGGTCTACTAAAAATAAGACAAGTCTGTCTGTAGTATTCTAATATATTGAGATGCTGAACACAGATCAGCTTGTAGGTACAAAGGCAGATGCATGACTGTAATCTAAAAGAAAAGAGTTTAGGGTACATGAAACATGTCTCAAAGATAAAGAATATTTATAATTTACTTTTGAATTTGAATTTTCTCAATGCGAGATCTTCCTTTGCCTTCATTTCCTGTAAAGTGTAGGTAATACCTGTGAACGGGCCTTCTGCAGGTTAATCCTTCATGAAGCAGTGACCCTGGGAGCATACTTGAAAACAGTTCCTGTACAGCCGTTGAGTACTAAGGTGATGATAGGTTTTCAGACTTGTCCCTGAGTAGGCCCTGCTGAACCACAGTCTCTAACAGCCTTCTTGCTTGACCCGACAGCAGTCTGTCCTTGATTCTGCAATTAGATGAGAATTGCAATTTCCTTCTGCCCTTTATGAGGTCCATGGAAAATTGATATTTGTCTAACTTATTTTAAAAGTTGATTGCATTTGCAGGAAATGAAGGTAATCAGTTTGCCATGTTTATAATCAAATCTGAGCTTTCAGACTTGAGAGCCAGAGTGTAAAACTCAAGAAAGTTTACTCAAGTTACCTTGCTAGAATTGGATTCTCTATAAGCCAACTATAGACAACATATGCTTATATATACAGAGTTTAAGTAGCAACTTCGAAAAGCATTTATTTTTCGCAATCAGGCTTGTATGATCCACTCCATGCCCCAAAAGAAGTAAATGATTTCCACTCTTTATTTCTGATCTCGATGTTTAATGTTTCTTTATGGATGTAAGTTTAAATAATTTGATCTGAATAAATTTTCACATAATTAAATCTTCATGTATGAAATCCAAAATCTGTGTTTTGTTTTAAAAACATGTCCTTCCTTCATCCATTGAACTTAGAATGTGAAAAGGAGAAACTGAAATATCTGTATTACACACCACCTGTCTGTGGTACTTTTTAGTTTTCTGTGTATCACTTGGGGTCTTCAGAAGCAGAGGCTGAATGCACAAGATGGGTTGGGTGACACAGGAAGGGTAAAGGAGGAAGGAGTGGGAGAAGGAGGAGCCCTCTCCACCCCACCCAGCAGGGCCGTTGCTGAGAGGCCAGAAGGCCAGGCAGTGCACAACCAGCAAGCCCAGGACGCCTGTGGCCGAGCCGCTGGGACAAGACCCCTGCCATGCCCAGTGACAGCGCTGCCTGGGACAGCCCGGGAGGGGAGCAGTCCCACGGGGCACGAAGTGTTTTTGACCAAAGACTCCAGAAGATATTTGATGCAGTGTTTAAAATCAGAACGGATGCAAAACAAGCAAACAAAAACGGATGAACAAGATGTTAACATTTTAAATCCAGTCAGACCATGTTATTGATTTTTCTCCTTGCTTCGGGCTTCAGTGACTCGACAAGACGCTGCTGATTCACCGCTTCCTGTGAGGCCAGGGTAGGGCTTCCACAGCAGTGGGGAATTTTCCACAGCCCTGCACCCTGGGTACACACGCTTGGGTACTGAAGTTCCTCTGTTGCTCCTTTCTCAGTAAGAATTGTGCATGCCAGGAGACAAAGGTACATTCCCTCTGGTGTTTATTTGAAGAGATTCATAGTCAAAGTCCATCTACTGACCACTAATGGCTTACACAAAAATATACTATATATTTTTATTTTAAAACATGTATATTGTGTGTATATTAGGCCATATGATTTTTGTTTTCTGAGACAGTCGCCACGTAGTCATTTCAGGCCAGCCTCGAACTCACAGGGGTCCTCCTGCCTCAGCCTCCCGAGTCCTGGAATTACAGGAGTGCACTACCACGCCCGGGTTAGGCCGTGTAATTGTGACATCTTCAGTTACTCGCTAGCAGTTCCTCCAGGGCTAGGGCCATGTGTCAATCATCCGGGGCTGACACAGTAGGTACTTACGGCCGGGGACTTAGCTCAGTGGCGCCGCACCTGGCTGGCAAGCGCAAGGTCCAGAGTTCGATCCCCGGTACCAAAAAAGAAAAAGTTTATTCAGAACTTGGACATGTGAGCTGGGCCTTGGTACAGTGGTAGACCGCGTGTTCAGCCTGTGCCAGATCCTGGGTTCGAGCCCCAGTACGGAAGGAAAGATGCTAGACGAGGTGCTGATACGCATTAGCCTGGCCAACTTAGCAACTTAGTGAGAGTCTGTGGCTGGGGATTTAACTCATTCCGAAGGCCCCAGGCTCAAACCCTGGTACCATCGCCACCAAAAAATCCGTAACAGCCAGCTGTCCCTGCGGCAAACTCCACTGTCGACCGCCAGCAAATGGCTTCCTCTTCCTGCACTCACCTAGGCCCCCTCAATTTTGCCCCAGGGTCTGAGTACCGCCTCACACCCGCCCTGCTGCCCTGCTCGGAGCGAGGCCTGGCCGTACAAGCCGCAGGCTGAGGGAATCCAGCTTCTGCCCTCGAGCCGGCAACCCAGCATGTCCTCCGGGCTGCCCGGGACACCTCAGCAGTCACTAACTTGTCCTCCGCCTCCGGGGCCTCCGAAGACCGCGAAGCTTTTGGGCGCTGGGGGCGCGGTCCCGCCGGGGCCCAGCTGAGGGAGCGCGAGCGCTGCGGGGGGGGGGGGACAGGAAGGGGCTGGGCTTCGCAGTGGGCGCTTCCGGTTCCGGCGCCAGGAGGAGGGCGCGCTGCTAGTGCCGCCGCCGTCGTCCGTCAGTCAGGCTGCGCCCGCGTCTTCCGAAGCCGGTTCCGTGGGACCCATCGCCGTTGCTGCGCCGCGCCGCGGGCTCGGATCCTGCCAGGTGAGGGTGCCGCGGGGATGAAGGGGGCACGGGGCGGGGCGGGCGGTGGAGGCCCCGGGACTCGGCCGGGCGCGGGCCGCGGGCTCCCGGGGGCCCGGCCAGCAGCTCCCGTCCCCTTCCCGCGCTGCGGCCCGGTTGCCCCGGAGGAGACGTCGAGGTCGCTGACGTCAGGCGGGCGGCCCCTCCCCCACCCAGCGCCCGACCCGCTCCGAGGCCGGTTCGCTCCGGCCGATCCCGGACGCCTTTGTTCCAGGGGCCCCTCGGCCCGACCTCTCATCCTCGCCGCCGCCCCACTCATTAATGTCTCCCGGGAGGAGGGAGAAGCCCCGATCGGTGCTTCCGAGATTGGCGCCGCGGATCGTGGGCATCGCGACAAGTAGAAACGCTGCTCCCGGAAGCGGTGTCGGCCTGCTCGGTCCCCGACCTTCTTCCAGGATCGAGCAGTGGCCTCCAGACCGCCGATCCCGTTCCTACAGCAGTGATTTTAACCGGATGGAGCCAGTGCGGCAGCACGAACTAGGCCCCACCGGAGAAAAACGTAGTATTGCACCGCACTGCTAGAGAGATACACACTTGGACACCTAGTGCTGGTAAAGGCGGTTTTGATTTCGAGCCCTCACTACAGGCTTAGCCTGTGGAAATGGTTCGTGATTTCGTGAGTTCTTTGTTCAGTAGTACTACTCTGGGGGCAGGAAAAATTAAAATTTTACTTGCTCATGTCTCTCTGAGCCCCTGTGCAAACCTAATTTGCTTCAGAAACAGATTTCAGTTGAGTTGAGCGCGTATTGGAAGTTCCTTCCAGGAGAATCGGGGCTCACTGTAGTTCAGGCTGGCCTGGAGACCCCAGCTCGCCATGTGGCCCCAGCCTGGCTTCCAATTCCCGCCATCCTCCTGCCTCAGCCTCCCGAGCGCTGGGATTACAGGCGTTCATTACCACGACGGGCCAGGAATTTATATGTTCTGTAGAGGAGAGCAGAGTCCGGGCTGGAGGCTGTACCTCGGGAAAGTGTCAGCCTGTTGGAGGCCCTACATTCTATCCCCTGTAGCAGGGAAAGAAAAAACCCGCAACCACAGATGTGTAGATTCACACTAAACAGGGATTGATAAAAACAATAAGTAGCTTCAGGTCAGATTTTGCCACCAAGTAAATTGTGTGCCAAACTTAGGAAAGTTTCTTTTGAGAGATTTCTGAATTGAAAACCACAGACAGGCTTTGGAGCTATTACAGGGTCTGGAGAAGATGTTTGTTGCTCTCTGCAGCAGTGATTTAAGAGCTGTTTACGTAAGCAGATCTGGGAGGTGCGTTTTTACCTTTGAGCCTTGGAGATTGGGCCGCCCCAAGTCTAGCCAGCCAGTGAGGAGTTGCAGTTTTATCCAGACAGTCTGCTCTTGATTTTGTACGTCCACAGCAGGAAGAAAGAATTTGGTATTTGTTGCCTACCCACTCTTACGCGAAGTGCTTGATGGGGTACAGTCCCCTTCCGTCCCCACTCAGCATTACTGGCCCATCTGTGTAGATGGAGAAAATGAAATTCATCAGGTAGCTGTTAAGCTAAATGACTCAACGCTGTAAGGTTTCTCTGCTAAATGTTACTGTCACTTTCTTTTCTTGGCATTTTCCAACCAGTCTCAACTGCTTCTGCTTCCCCTCAGCCAGTCTGAGCTCCCTCTCGGCTCTTCTGCAGTTCTCCTTCCCCCAACTGCTGCTCCCTTGTTTTTCTTCCTAGATCAGAGACGCCACCTCTCCGAATGTCCTTCCCATCCTGCTCATGTCCCCAAAGCCCTGCTCTGCCTGGCTCATAGGTTCCAGTGAGTGTCTGAATAAAGGTACAAGGTTTTCCTGGGAATTTTAAATATTCAGAAACTTTCCATCCCAGTTGGTTGAATTACCCAACATAAAAAATGGAGTATAGTCTAATAAAATACCCAGTACCAAATCTAGCCTATTTCTGATTGAGAATTTGTTTTCAATACATACCATCATCTTCCTTCCCTTTACTAAAAAAATGACAGGCATCCGGGCTGCCTTAATTTCCTTTAGATGTGTGGGTAGCACCTTATTGAACTGCTTATTAATTATCTGTGAGGTAGCAAGGACTCAGAACTGACCGCGGGGAGGTGCGCCTTTGCGCTAGGTGTCCAGCCTCTGACTGCAGCATCTCACACCAACACGGCTCAGCACCACGACCTCACCCTGAGCCTCACTTCTCAGTCATGACTGTGTGACACACAGGGAGTTGGCTGTCCAATTCCCTGTGACTCATTATCTTTTGCATTTTAGTTGAAAACTTGTTCTCTGGATCAGAATTGTTCCTGTCCGGCACAGCGGTGCGTACTGTGACCCCAGTGCTCTGGAGGCTGACAGGCAGCCAGCCAGGTGACTGGGCAAGGCCCTGCCTCCCAGAATTAAAGGGGGAGCGTCTCGGTGTGAAAGCCGGAATGCACTCCCCAGTACTGAGAATTACAAATAACTGTTCTTGCTGCTCAGAAAATTATTTTTCAAATGATGGATAGACCACCATCAAGTGGTAATGGAAAGTTTTGCAAATAGTAGTTTTTGAGTGTTGGAGAAAGAAGAAAATGAAAACATTTGATTATAAATTTTTTTTGACAAGTTCAGGTTTACCTTAGCCTCATCTTATGAATAAGCTTACTTTTTAGAGTAGGTTTTTAGGCAGTGTGGAGGTTTTTACATTCTTCAACTTTGCTCTTGTTGAAGTGCTGACGTCCAGCCCTGATTTTTTTTTTTAACCTTTTTCAGATGAACAAATGTGTACCTCACAGAGCAAAGTGGAATGGTTTAACCTCCACCCTGTTTGTTTGTTTGTTTGTTTGTTTTGGTACCAGGGATGAACTCAGGACTTTGCGCTTGTGAGGCAGGTGGCGGAACCACTAAGCTAAATCCCCAGCCCCCTTTCTTTTTTTTAAAAGTCTCACAAAGACACTAAATTGCCCAGGCTGGGCTCAGACCCAGAGTTCTGGGATTACAGGCATGAACCACCATGCCCAGCTTACTTTTCTTTTGAAGCAAAGCTTTTATCGGTACATTTTAGATATACATAATGATAACATTCCTCATAGGGAATTTGTACCCGCACCTGACATATCTTGCTTTTCTTCCCACCCCCACCCTTCGACCTGTCTTTCCCTCATTTACCAAAGCTCTGCAGCCTGAATTTCATAGTGAGACTGTCTAAAAAAAAACACCTTTCAAGGGGCCGGGGATTTAGCTCAGTGGTTTCGCCGCCTGCTTTGCAGGTGCAAGGACCCGAGTTCGATCTCTGGTACAAAAAAAAAAAAAAACAAATAACACCTTTCAGTATCTGAGATGACCTGTTTCTCTTCTTTGACTTGTCACTGTAGTAAGACATTAAAATTCTTTAAAATTTTATTTGTAATTATGATTTATCATGAGAAATAATTTCAAAAAAGGAAGGAAGGAAGGAAAGAAAGAAAATCTGAACTCAACGATAGCCCAGGCTGGCCTGGAGCTCACTGCCAGCCCTCCTCTCTCAGCCACCTGAGCGCTGAAACATTCGTTAAAAATATGAAGCTCCTGTCATTAAGTTGGAATTGTGGTGGAGATTGAAGCTCTGTGTAAGAGGCTGAGCTCTGCTGTCACCCAGCTAGGTTGGAACCTCTGCTCCGCTGTCACTGCTCTAAGACCATAAACCCGTTAACTTGCTAAGCTTCCTTTTCTCCAGCCTCAGACCCTGGTGATGCTAGAGCTTGCAGGGGAAGAACTTGCCTATTCTATGAAAAACCTCGGGTAAATCACAGTTGTCATCGGCAGCCGTGATCTTAAAGATGGCTTGCCAGATTAGTTTACAAAAGTGAGGTTATCTGGTGATTATTGCTCAGAAGAGTCGGTTTTAGACAGGAACTCAAACCATAAACATACTATAAGAAAACAAGGCAGTTTTTAAGAACATCTTGATGTGAAGAAGGCCTTTGTACCTACATCACAAATTCCAGAAGTGTCTTGTAGGGAAAAATTAATAAGCCAAACAAAATTTAAACCTTTTAGTACCAAAAAATACCATTCAAGAGGTAGAACAGTTTAAAAGGAGGGACTTGGGAAGAAAGTTTTTGGCCCATTTGTTTCTTTCCTTGATGTCTTACAAAGCAGCGAGGGGAAAAAATGATTTACTACAAAGTAGTGAAATGATCAAAGGCAGAAGAGTAGCCACTCCCTTCCCCTACTTATGTAGAAGTCGAAAGACAAGCGAGAGAGACAGTGAGGGCTGGTGGTTGGGAGGGCAGGAGCAGATGTTCCAAAATAAGGGAAAGAGATATCTTGTTTGGGGCCGTTATAGGGCGGGGAGAGTCCTCACACACCTAAGACCTGTACATCCTGTTGCTCATCTGCTCTGACTTAAAAATTGATGGGGGTTTCTCTTGCATGAAAAACCTGAGACTATAAGAAAGGAGCAAATAAAGGAGAGATGGGAAGGAAGGAGAGGAGAAGGGGACCTGGGTAAGGTGGCGGGGAGCAGGGCGGGAGGCAATAAAAAATAATCATGATCCTATATGTGTGTCATTGCAAGTCCCCAAGAGAATGTGACTATGATTCATAAGCATATGCTAAAAACTGATAGGGCCTTCCATCATCTGCCCCGCAAACACAAGGTCCTGAGTTCGATCCCTGGTACCCCCCCCCCAAAAAATTGATAGGGCCAGACCTGCAGTGCAGTGCTTGGTACTTCCCTACCACACACAAAGCACAAGATTCACCCTGGCGCTGAAGTGAGTAAAACGTGAAAGGTAGTCCAAGGATGTTAGCAAATTCACAGGAAAAGGAATACGAGTGAGGTGCTAAGTAAATATTCTATCTTCCACTTACAGAAATGTAGGTAAAATAAGATGCCAATTTTTAACCTGTCATGATTTAAAAGTTTACAAATTTAATATCCAGAGATTTTAAAAAAGAAAGGAGTGACAGTGTAAACCATATGGGCTTTGCAGGTAGATTTGGGGTGAGCTTGTTGCCTCCAAATCCCACTTCTGGGCCTTTTTCGTGATCATGATTGCACATGAGCAAAGATAAGTATTTAGAGATGTCACTGTCCAGAGCAGCCTAGCCTGCCACAAAGATCCTTTGGATGTAGGCTGAACTGTATGGCAGGCTGGGCGTGTTGGCACACGCTTGTAGTGCCAGCTACTAGGGAGGCTGAAGCAGGAAGGTCAGTTGAACCTAAGGGTTCAAGACCAGCCTGGGCCACACAGTGGGACCCCATGGGTAGATAAGGAGTCATTTTTATCTGATGCACAACCATTAAAAGGGGTGACGTTGATGGAGTTATATCAGCTTCTATGGAAAAATTTTCCTCTAGAAGAAAAACACAAGACATAAATGGTGTAGATTCCATTTAAGTAAAAATGTGTTTATGAAATTCTTGCGGTTTCTATTGCTATTGATCTCCAATTTCATTGCACTATGGTCTGATAACATACAGGGGATAACTTCAGTTCCTTTGCACTTACCTAAATATGTTCTATGAGCAAGTATGTGGTCTGTTTTGGAGAATGACCCATGTGCAGCTGCAAAGAATGTGTATTCTGATTTGGTGGAGTGGAACACTTTGTAAACATCTGTTAAGTTCTTTTGTTCAAGAGTTTGATTGAGTTCTAGTATTTCGTTGCTTGTTTTTTGTCTAATTGATCTGTCTATTTGTGACAGTGGGGCATTGAGGTCCCCCACTACTACTGTATTAGAGCTTAATTGATTTTTCATGTCCATTAGTATTTGTTTTATATAGTTGGGTGCACTAGTGTTTGGTGCATAGATATTTATGATTGTCATCTCTTCCTCTTGGATTGTTCCCTTTACAAGGATGTAGTGTCCTTCTTTGTCTCTCAGTGTTGGTTTGAAACCCACTTGATCTGCAAAGAGGATAGCTACTTCTTTTTTTGGGGTTCCTGTCGCATGGCATGTATTGTTTTCCACCCTTTAAGTTTCAGTTGAGTTTCTTCTTGAATTAAGTGTGTTTCTTGTATGCAGCATATTGTTGGATCTTGCTTCTTGACCCATTCTGCCAGTCTATTTCTTTTGATTGGTGAGTTGAGACCATTAACATTGATGGTTATAACTGATACGTATTGACTTATCATTGTCATAACTTTTTTTTTCTATTGGATTCTCCCCCTTTGCTTTTAATTTCTTGTCCTGCCCGGTGGATTCATTCTGCTGGGCTTCCTGGAGTTGTGATCCTCATTGTCTTTTCCTAGGATACTGTCTAAAATTTTTTGGAGTGCTGTTTTGGTATTCATGAAGCTCCTAAGGTGCTCTTTGTCATGGAAGTATCTTATTTCTCCATCAATTTTGAAAGATAGTTTTGCAGGGTACATCAATCTGGGTTGGAGGCTGTTTTCCTTTAGGGCTTGCAATTCTTCACTTCAAGCTCTTGTTGCCTTGAGGGTTTGTGTTGAGAAGTCTGCTGTGATTCTGATGGGCTTTCCTTTGTATGTGATTTGTTTCTTTTCTCTCACTGCTTGTAGAACTTTGTTCTTCTGTTGGGTTTCTGGAATCTTAACAATTATATGCCTATGTGTAGATTTTTTTTGATCAAGGCTAGTTGGAGTCCTATATGCCTCACTTATCTGTATGTCAAGTTCTTTTCCCCTGCTTGGGAAGTTTTCTGCCATCACTTCTGTGAACAGTTTTTTTATGTCATCTGCACTCTCCAGTTTCTTCGTTGACTCCGATTCATCTTATGGTATTCTTCTTTGCATCATCTAGCAGCTGCTGGATTCATTTCTCATGGTTCCTTACAATTTTAAAGCAATTTTTCTTTTCCTGGTCACTAATTGCAATCTTATCTTCTATATCTGAAATTCTGCCCTCACATTGGCTCATTCTGCTGCATAGACTTTCAGTGGAGTTTTTAATCTCCTGGAAATCTGTTTGCATCTGTTTTATGGATTCCATTTGTTTCCTGTGTTGGGATTCCATCATGTTCCTTAGCTCCTTTTTTTGTTTTTTGTTGGGTTTTTTTTTTTGGTACCAGGGCTCAAACTCGGGTCCTTGTGCTTGCGAGGCAGGTGGCAGAACCACTGAGCTAAATCCCCAGCCCAGCTCCTCTGTTTTTTTATCTGTGTCCTCTCTAGATTTATTAATCATGTCTTCCACTATGGGCACAATCTCTGCTGTTATGTGAGAAATTGTTTCTGCTTTCATTTTCTCCAGATCCTCTTGTTGCTAGTTCAGGGAGTCCAGGTGGTTGAGTATCAGAGTGTTCCATCTCAAGTTTCCCTTTGGGCTTGCTGTAGGTGATCTGGAAGTCTGGTTCTGAAGCTTGTTTATGTGTCTTCTCATTGTGACGGGGCGGAGCGGGGGGGTGGGGGGTATTTGTTGCTGGTCCCAGTGCGGCTCACCTCCTCTGTGCTGGGAGCAGTGGCACGTTGGCCTGGAAGCCTCCTCTGTCCCATTTCAGTAAAAAATGTTGTATGCCTAGATAGCTCTTTTTAAAAGAGTTTATAAGAAAAAAAAAGAGTTTATAAGAGGGCTGGGGATTTACCTTAGTGGTTCTACCACCTGCCTTGCAAGCGCAAGGTCCAGAGTTCGGTTCCTGATACCAAAGAAAAAGTTTATAAGAAGCTGGGCATGGTGGCTCACGCCTGCAATTCCAGTACTTGGGAGACTGAGGCAGGAGGGTCGCTGTGAGTTCGAGGGCAGCATGGCCTAGTGAGCTCAGGGCCAGTCTGAACTACAAAGGAAGACCCTGCCTCCAAAAACCAAAAAAGAGTTTATAAGAAATGCTAGATACTCACTTTGAAATTTTCTTTCTTTTTTTTTAGGAAGATGTCTGATGAGTTTTCGGTAAGTTAATATTTTTACCCTTGGTAAAGATTTTTGGCACTTAAGGAAAAACATGGTCCTAACTGGAGGCCACTTGTGTCTTTTTGTGGTACTGGGGCATCAAACCCAGGACCTTGTGCATGCTAGGAAAGCCCTCTACCATTGAGTCGCGTCCCCTGCCCTTCCAAGTCTTTTAATTTTAAAAAGATGCTTTCTGTGATGCTTGGATATTTTGGGGCGTGTGATTTTGATAGGTGATTTTCCTTTATTTATATACACTGAGCATGTTTGAAAATGTATTCAGAAATATCTGCATCTTGAAATGAAAAATGTTTGTGTGACTTTTCTTGTCTTCTTTTACCATTATAGTAGTAATAATCCCACTGTTGTTGAAAATCATTTCATACCGGACACTGTGTTCGGTGCAGTGTATAAGCTCTCATGGAAGTCTCAAGTTAATCCTGATAATGAAAACAAGGGTGTGTGACTTTCATGAAGTAAAGCCAGGCCTCACTTCCAGATCCCGACTATAAATTCCACCCTCAATTCTGTACTGATGCATTAGCACAGTACAGAAACTAAGCATTGGGTGAATGCTTGGATTTAGAGGAGTTGAGCTTTTTCTGAAAATTTTGCACTCTAAAGTTGATATGTAAACCAGGCAAAGTAGCACAGCCTGTTATCTCAGCACTTGGGAGGCTGAGGCAGGATCCTCGCTGTGGGTTCAAGGCCAGCCTGAACCACGTAGCAAGACCCTGTCTGAAAAAGCCAAAAATAAAGTTGATACTCAGATGAACACCTCAAGTCTCCTGTTAAATGCTCAGCCTGTGGAGTGGCTGTGTATTAAAGCTTCTCATCTGACTGACTGGCTGATCTCCTTGGGTGGTGATCACGCGTGGCTGACTTGTCCCAGGAGATGAAACCCACCTCTCTGTCTTCCAGTTGGCAGACGCGCTCCCCGAACACTCCCCCGCCAAAACCTCTGCAGTGAGCAACTCCAAATCCAGCCCAGCGCCCCAGGGCTGGCCCAGCTCCAGCCCCTGGAACAACCCGAGCGCTCCGCCCTCCCTGGCGTCCGGACCCCCGCCGAGCGTGACACCCTCCACCGGGCCTTTTGGAGCCACACCCCCAGGAATGTACCCCTCCGTGCCTCCTGCTGGACCGCCCCCGGGACCCCCGGCCCCCTTCCCTCCGTCTGGACCCTCGTGCCCCCCGCCCGCGGGCCCTTACCCCGCCCCGGGCACGGGGCCGTACTCCACCCCAAACATGCCCTTCCCGGAGCTCCCCAGGCCCTACGGCGCGCCCGCAGACCCGGCCGTGGGCCCCTTAGGTCCGTGGGGCTCCGTGTCTTCTGGATCTTGGGCGCCGGGCATGGGGGCGCAGTATCCCAGCCCCAATATGCCCTATCCTCCGGGGCCGTACCCCGCTCCTCCGCCCCAGGCCCCGGGCACAGCACCTCCCGTTCCGTGGGGCTCGGTGCCACCAGGAGCCTGGGGGCCACCGGCACCATACGCCGGCCCCGCAGGCTCGTACCCCACACCAGGACTCTACCCTGCCGCCAGCAACCCTTACCAAGTGCCTTCAGGACCCTCTGGCGCTCCACCGATGCCTGGTGGCCCCCACGTGAGTGTCGCTTGGTTATTTCCCAGCACAGCTGAGTTTGTCTCCCACTCGGGAGGGAAGGTTAGAAAGCCTTTCAGACTTCTAGGAGAGCGACTGTGTGAGTAAATCTGCAAACTTGAGGCACAGCATTTAAAAGGATGAGGGCAGAAGGGTTCCCTGTACTAAATACAGAAGGGAGAATTTCCCAGGGTCCCCGAGACTTGTGTAGAGGAGTCCTGTTCTCCGCTGCACCCCGGGCCAGCCCTGGCAGATGCGCTCCACTGGCTCTTTGGTTGCATGTGGGTTTTTTTAACCATATGGTTTTACAATATCACACCAATGCACAGGTCAATAAAAAGCCATCTCTGCCTGTCTGGCGTGATGCAGAGATTTCTAGAGGCCCTAGTTCAGGCAGCTCTCCCTGCTGTTTCTCAGCCTCAATTCTGTTAAATTCCTGGCAATGCTGAACTGTTCTTCTTGCTGATCCATTTACATGTCTTTTTTTTAGTACCAGGGATCAAACTCGGGTCCTTGCACTTGCACAGCAGGCAGTGAAACCACTGAGCTAAATCCCCGGCCCTACATGTCATTCTTTCTGTCAGCCAGGCAGGGGTCAGCTAGACAGTTAGGTTGAGGAGCCTCTCTTTGGGGCTGTGGCTGATTAGCAAAGCACCCTACTTCTCCATGAAGAATGCAAGTACACATCTAAATGCAGAGTTAACGTTTCTGCTTGGGAACAGAAAAGATCTGTAAACTCTCAACCCAACCCATAGGGTAGCTGTAAAACAGCTGAAAGTGTCCCCAAAACTTCATTCATATAAATTCTTGCTATGTTTATTCTCTTAAAAAAGAAAGGTTTTTTTTCAAAGTAAATGAGATTATTTGTTTGGACTTATTAAGCAATAAATTTATTATAAACCACAGCAAGGAGTTAAACTGTTTACAAAATCTCGAAGTTGACTTTCTTTTTTCTGTTGCAGTCTTACCATTAAGTTAACAATGGACGAAGAGATGACGCTTTGCTTTTTGAAGTACATACATGTGCACATGAATGCATATATAAAAACTCCCAGTCTCTCTATTAGAGGGCATTCATGAAAGAACAACTCTTGCGCCTCTCAGAAGATATCTGCCTCTTGTACTTGGATATGTAGTGCATCGAATGGATACAATCAGATGTAAATGTAGAAGTAAATTGAGCAGATGTGATTTTTATTTGGCTTTCATGGAAAGTTAAAGTGATTATATTGAATAGCTCATTGCTAAATTTTAAATTTTGAAACCACACACTTAAAAATGTAAGATAAGGATTATTGTTGAAATAATTTGCCAGTGAAGTTGTAGATTCTAGGTATTTTTCTATAACGTCTTTTACCCCTAAATAACTGAGAGGTTTGTTTTTTTTTTTCGGTACTGGGGATTGAACTCAGGACCTTGCGCTTGCGCGGCAGGCATCAGAACCACTGAGCTAAATCCCCGGCCCTAAATAACTATGAAAACAATCACATTTTATTCTAAATAAATGATGCCCCTTAGCATTTTGAGCTGCTGTCTGTGGATTAAATAAATCTAGGCATGCTAGGGTTATTTTTTGGATATACATTGTCAGGTGTCACATTCATCATCCAGCCACCGTTCATCTTTATCCTTGAGCTATTAGTAAAAATCTTTTATGCCACATGGGTCACTAACATGTGCCATTTATGAAACTGGTTTTTTCACTCAGTGCTGGTGATGGAATCCAGGGCCTTGCACATGCGAGGCAGGCTTTCTACCACTGGGCTCCTCTCCAGGCCTGACTTTGTCCTTTTAATCCAGGCCACGTGTGTGTCAATTACATTCTTAGAGAACCAGCGCTGTGCTTGACGGTGGATTGTGAGGTGTATGTTGTTTTGTTTTGTTTTTTGGTACCGGGGATCGAACTTGGGTCCTTGCGCTTGCAAGGCAGGTGGCAGAACCACTGAGCTAAATCCCCAGCCCATGAGGTGTATGACTGGGAAGAGCTCGAGGAAAGAATTCTCTCCTTTGTTTTAAACCTTAAACAAGTAAGACCTAGGAATTGCTTCTTCCAAGTGATTTTAATTCTCGAAGAACCTAAGGCAGATCCCGTGCCAGGCTCTTCCCTGCAGCCTCCCTGTCCCCCCAGTTCCCCAGGAGCACAGAGACTGGCACACACGGGGCTCTGTTAGAGCAGAGCAGTTGTGCTTGGAGAGCCCAAGTCAGACAGGCATGGCAGCGTCTTTGTGCAAGTGGAGTCCAAAGCTTACCTGTGTTTCAGTCTGGTTAGGTCATGTCACTGCTCTTGCAGTTTCCCCAATCTGTGAAGTGTTCATGGCTGACAATTCAGTTCTTTGTTGACAGGCAGATAAATAGAATTGAGTATCCTCTTTGAAAAAGTTACTTTAGTTCTAACACTGAAAATAATAGACTGTAGATTTCCACAGCTGAGTTTGAAGCAGTGACCATGTCGTTTCGATAGTGTTTATAATACAGAAGAGCCTCAGTAGCTTTTTGCCACCTTGTCTTTGAGTCAAAGTCCTAGGCTTGGGGTAGACGTGACCTTATTTTATCAGATAACATTTTGAATGTATCCATTGGGTCTCTAAAATGTATTGTGAATTTCTCAGATGCATATAAGAAAAGATTTATGCTGGAGATGTTTTTACTTTGAAATAAAATATTCAGTAGTTTACCTTTCCTATAATTAAAATGTCAATTGCTGCCCATACCATGGTTTGATAGCTACCTCCTTATAAGAAAATAAGATAGTCACCTTTGAGAGGAACATTTAGCATTCAAGCCTCCTTTAAGTAGTGGATAGATCCTGTGTTCAGAATTGACCAAGGTAGAAACTAATTTGTTCAGATAATATCAGATTGACATGTTCTTAGGCAGATCTTACACAGTGGCAAAAGTAGACAGATTGCTTTCACTTCTTTGCAAGGACCGATGAGAGCTATTCATAATACCCTAGAACAACTCAGCGCAGCCCAGCCGCCTGTCTACAAGCCGGGTAACTAGGTATCCTACATAGTTAAATTACCCATTAGTCAGTTAACCAGCAGGATAGGAAGGAAAGTGAGGTGACAGCAAAGATACCTCTGTTCATAGCTATCTTGGTTGTCCTGCCTTGGAATACATTAACAGCTCTGGCTTTAGATGCAGGATTTAACATAACGCTAAGGATATAGAACAGAAGGGTTAGCACATGCCAGAATCTATAATCATGGTGTCCATGGTTACAGGAAAAAAATCTTTTTGCTAAAGGATTTGAAGGGCCATAAACCCAAGATTTGAGACACCACACCCAAGAGGAGAGAGTAACTTTGCTGGTGACCCATCCTGCCCACTGTTTGCTGACACGGCCACGCTAACCATTGGCCTACCTTCCTCGCCTGCGGTGGTGGTGGACCTGCAGTTAGCTGGCAGCATCTCGGTTCCTCTTGGGCACTGAGCCAGAAAGTGCTTTCACGATCAGGGTAGAGTCAAGAAAAGCAAAAGCGTCAGTGGACAGATAGGAAAAAGCATCCAGAGGATTTTCCCTTCTTTCTAAAGGAACACTGGTTTCCAAAATAAGTCAGGCTAGGCTGCCATTGGTTTATGGAAGACGGCTTGTTAGCAGGCAGGCTCGGTCATAATGCAGATTATAGATATGCTGATGTTTGGGCTTTAGACAAGAGTTTTTAAATAAGTTTGATTGAGATTGTTGATGCGTTCTGAAGTTAGTCTTAGGTTTTGAAATGCTGAGCCCCAAAATGACCATGCAGATGAAAGCCTAGCCCCAAGTCCACATCCCCACTTAGCAAGAATGCTGCTCACAGGAAGGCTTCAAACTCTGGACTGTCTGCTGCATCCCTGCCACCTCTGAGTAGTGATGTCGTGGTCATCTGGGAAGATGCACATTCTCAGGCTAGGGACACCTCACTCATCTGTCCCTTGCACTGATTGTCTTCAGGCCGAGAAAGAGGTCTCTCAGAGCAGTCACCACCGAATGAGCTCTCCGAAGTCAGCTCGCCTGCGACGTGTATTACCTCACAAAGTTAGTGCTACACCTTTGTCCTCGAACGTAGGCTCTGAAAACTCGGTTAGATGAAAGCAGCTCTGCTCCGCATTGCACTTCGTTGTTCTGAGCAGTGCTGTGTCCTCCAGCGTCAGGGCTGCGGGCTCTGGAAGTGGGCCTAAGGCCAGACTGGCCTGGAGCACATGGATCATCTGCTTAGGAAGGAAGTGGTGGGGCTCCGCTCAGGGAGGACAATCGGTAAAGCAGTGCAACAGACAGCCACTGTTCTATTTTCAGAACTCTGCCAAACTGAAAACATTTGCCAAACAAAACAAAATTTGCCAATACAATAAAATGAGCAGTATTAGAGTACCACGCGAGCTTCTGGCCACAGAAAACATCTGAGGACTTCACGCAACAGACCAAGTGTCTGATCCTGGTGCTAGGCCAGAGGCCACCCCGTCTCCAAAGGGACGTGCTCTTGGGGACTTTTGAGTTCCCACCCACCCAGGCTCGGGACCTGGCAGGGAGCAGCAGGACACCTGCTGCTGCGGGCTCTAGTCGGGCGCGTTAGAAAGGGCCATGCGCTCACAGGTTTCTTTCACTTACACTATTTTCCAAGATTGCCACGTGATCACTGCAGCCCTCCAGTGTGCAGACGAGTGGGAGTCTCCTCTCCCGGATGAAAGCTTGTTCACTGCCTGTGACTTAGGAGCAGATGTGGATTTCTGGCCATTAAGTAGACTTCTTATGTGTGCTCTATATAAAAGTTTTATAGTTTTTTCTTTCTTGTAATTGTGATTTTTTTTCATTGGCTTAATAACAAGTTTAACGTATGTAACTGACTTTGCATTTTAAGTTAAACTGCCCAAAATGTGATTGGAGACATACACATTTGTTTGTATTACGAACTGGTAGAACTGTAAAGCAATCTGTTTGTAACGTTAGGTTTCATTACCTGCTGCTGTATTTGTAAACGACAAATGTTGCTTTAAGAAGTAATTATAATTAGGAACAGACTATGGATGTGATACTTGATATTTTTTAAGATAAACTTGTTTGCTTTTGTGTACTCTACCTGTAAGCTTTTTTTAAAAATGTATTTTTATGGTTTCACAGTTTTGCCATGTATTTTATTCACCAGGCCCAATTCAGGGCTTCCAAAGGCAAGTCCAGAGCCTCACTGACTGCAAATTCATGGTCATAAAGAAAACAAGGGGGCCAGGGATTTAGCTCAGTGGTGCCACCGCCGGCCTCACAAGTGCAAGGACCTGAGTTCGAGCCCCAGTACCAAAAAAAGAAAACGAGAGCTGGGCAGGGCAGCACGCACATTTAATCCCAGCACTTGGGAGGCTGAGGCAGGAGGATTACCACGAGTTCAAGCCTAGCACCCGCTGTGTAGCAAGTTTAAGGCCAACCTGAAACATAGCAAGACCGTCTCAAAAAAAAGGCCTGTAATACCTCCTGCGGGTGACCTGCATTCACTAAGAAATTTAAATAGAGTGCCTAGAAACAGCCTTCCTCCAGAAACATCCCCTGGCATATGGTGTCCACTATGACAGTCGCCTCCTTCCCTTCAAGGCGAGGCCACTGTAACCGTGTCATCCGTGGATGTGAAGTGGGGTCCCTCTTCTCTGCCACCACTCCCAGGTTCTGTGATAAACAGTGACTACTTCCACGCTGGCTGCTGCACATTAAGTGAGGGCTGTAGTCAGCCTGCTGTAGTTGACCATTTCCTTTCCAATGCATGTGCCAGCCTTTCTTGGAACTCCAGTGTGAGTGAGGCTAAGAATGAATGAAAGCCGGTATGGTGGCGCACACCTATATTCCCAGCACTCAGGAGGCTGAGGCAGGAGGATCTCTGTGAGTTCAAGGCCAGCCTGAGTTACACACTGAATTCAAGGCCAGGCTGGACTGCATAGCAAAGCCCAGTCTCAAAAGAGTGGCATGGAATCAATTTCCTGTTAGTATCTTCCACAGACCGCTGCTACAGATGCCCATGTCTCCCAGCTGAGGTTTGCTTCAGTAGTAGAATCCTGAGCCACCCAGGTGCTAAGCCGTCAGCAATGTGAAGGAAAGGGGAAACTGGGAATTTTGCTGTTCTCGCTTTGGTTACATTTGGTGTCAAAACTCATGTGGTGTGATGGTTATTTAGCATGCCTTAAAAGGTGGGTAAGTAGTTTTAAAGATAACTTCTCTGTCAGGGATTTAGCTCAGTGGTGCTCTGCCTGCCTGGAAAGAATAAGGTCCTGAGTCCGATTCCCAGTACCAAAAAATAAAAAGTAGCCTCTTTATTACTGTTTTGAAACAGAGTCTCCCTGTGTATTTCAGGCTGGCCTTAGAACTCCTGGCGACCCTCATGTCTCAGCCTCCTGAGTGCTGGGAGTACAGGCGTGAACCACCACACCCAGCTAAGACAGTTCTTGCCTGCATTTACTTGATGGAACTAAGTAAGGCTGGGTAGTTGTGGAGGTTACACAGCTCCCGTGATGTGGAACTGGGGTTAAAGTCCTGGGTGCAACGCCACACGCATTTAAAGTGCCTGGTGAATCATCACACACTTGAAGTGCTGGGTTAGAGTTTGAGCACTGCATCTTCATCATCAAGGCAGAAGGAGATGAAAGGCGTTGGCCAGACACAGGGTCAGGACGTAGGATGAGGATCACCCCGGGCCGGAGGCACAGCCAGCACCCAGCTTCGGTGCAGGCCAGGCCGGGGGTCCCAGCTGCTGAGACGAGAGGGCCCTGTTGGCAGCAGGCTGGGTGGACGGTGGGGAGGCTCCACAGTTCACTTTCACACTCAACAGCGCAGGATGTGCTGGGTGACAACCTTCACTGTGACTCGGTTACCGCCACACACACGACCCCGGGTCCTGAACCTCATGTCATGGCCAGATGCCTCCTCAGTTCCCATGACCAAGGACAGTGCTAATGAGTGGCTGTACCAGGCTGCTTCAGATGTGGGGTGCACATTAAATGGAAGGAATTTCTGGTGAAATCTGACCCGGGCTGAAAGACTTCAAAGGGCTCACAGGGCTGTTTTTATTCTGAGCTTTGAGTGGAGCCCTAGGGTGCTCCTTTACCTGACACCAACAATGCTCAGAACTGAGGGGAAGCCAGGTGAGGTGGCGAGGGCCTCTAGGCCCAGCACTGGGGAGGCTGAGGCAGGAGCATCTCCAGGAGCTCCAGGCCAGCCTGAACTGCATAGCGAGACCCTGTCGCAAAACAAGAACTATGAGGGGCAGAGCGGAACACGCTCCCTCTAGCCAGAGAGACCTGTTTGGTGTGGCAGTACAACCTGAGCACACACAGCTAGTGGAGCATCTGTACGGTTTCTCTTCAAAGTCAGGGGGCGGGGGGGTAAGCTGGGATGCTCAGAGCCGAGGTGTGATAAAACACTTCTGGCCAGCAGGCTGCCCTATGAGCAGTCACATCTCCACTTGCCTGTGGCAGTTCTGGTTTATGTCTCCTAGGCATAATCATTAATGATACCCCAAACCTAGATGCATTCTCCAGTGTCCTGGTTTCAAGAATAATTCTATGGTTATATTAAATGTAGGGGAAGCCTGGCGTGGTGGTGCATACCTGTAATACCAGCACTCGGGAGGCTGAGGCAGGAGGATCACCACTGAGTTTTTAAAGATGAGGTCAGCTGATCTGCTGGAACTAGAGACAGTGCTTCCCTGAGAACAAGGACAGTGATTGCAGGAGATGAGAAACCCTCTGGGGGTTGTGGCTATGCTCATCCACTCCATTATAGCGAGGCTCAAATGTGTGACACTGCACTTCCATTAGTGACTTTTTTTTGGTAGCTCTGGGGATTGAACCCAGAGCCTTGCTTATGCTAGGCAAGTGCTTACCCACTGAGCTACTTTCCTAGCTGACACTGCATACTTTAAACAAACACTATTTATATTGTACATCATTTACTTCAATAAACCTTTTCTATTTTGAGGTGGTTATTTTTTTGGTTTTGTTTTGGTTTTTTATTTTTAGATAGGGTCTTACTATGTAGACCAGGCTGGCCTCAAACTCACAGTGATCCCCCCACTTCGGCCTCCCAGTGCTGGGATTACAAGTGTGTGCCACCACATCCAGCGAAACCTTTTCTTAAAAAATCATTTTTCCAAAAACAAATGGAGGACCTACCTTGAAAAGCAGCGAGTATTTCTGTAAGCCACGCTTTATGCTCCTTGTAGTCAACTGTTTTTTGTTTTTCTTGGGGGGGGGGGGGACTCAGGACCTTGGGCTTGCCAGGCAGTGGCAGTGCCACTGAGCTACATTCCTGGGCCCAAGGGCGTCACTATTTCTTTTCAAGATCTCCAACCTCGCAAGTCAGGCACTGTTGTTCCCCTTAGGGAAGTACAGTACCCAGGTAACTCCCGCAGTCACCCATGCAGAGGAGACACAGGCAGCCCTCAGAGCCCAAGGTGCGACCTCGTTACCCATGGTTACACCTGCGCCTGCGCACAACCTGCTTCCGGAGCCTCCAGCAGTTGCGGCCTGGCAGAGACAAACGTGAGAGCAGGTGGAATGCTGGTGAGGCTTCAGGGGAGAAGGAAGCTTTCTACACTGTCAGTGGGGGTATAAGCCAGTACAGCCACGACGGAGATCAGTGGGGGGATTCCTCAAAACACTGAAACTAAAACCGGTCGTGGTGGCCCACCCCTGTAGTCCTAGCACTCGGGAGGCTGAGGCAGGAGGATCACCGTGAGTTCAAGGCCAGCGTAGGCTACATAGTGAGTTTGAGGCCAGCCTGCGCTACAAAGCGAGACCCTGACTCAAGGAAAAAAAAGAAAAAAGAAAAAAGTAAAACACCAAAATGAGAAGTTCCACTCAAACCAGCTATTCTCCTCCTAGGTATCTTCTCAAAAGAGTTAAAGACCCCTTATCATAGATACTATGTTTTGTTTTGTTTTGTTTTTGGTACCGGGGATTGAACGGTCCTTGCGCAGCAGGCAGCGAAACCACTGGGCTAAATCCCTGGCCCGATAGATACTGTTTATAGCAGCGTAACTCATAATAGCTAAACCTTGTGAGCAGCCGGTATGTCCATCAACAGATGAATGGATACAGAGAATGTGGTATTTCTACACAATGGAGTACTACTCTGCCATAAAGGATAAACGAGTTATTTGTAGGAAAATGGATCTACCTTGAGACCATATGGTAAGTGAATAAATTAGATACATGAACTTCAATATTACATGGCTTCCCTTATTTGAGAACTCAAAATATTTTTTTTAAAAAGATAATAGGAAGTAGGGAGATAGCTCTTTTGCAAATCAGAAGATCAAGAGATGGAGGGAGGGGAGGGGAGGGGAGGGAGGGGACTGAATGAAGCTGTGTCCTGTCCATGCCCCGGCTCTCCACTGCGCGCTGCAGATGGATGCTGACAAAAACAACTTTAAACTGAGAGGCTCAGGGATATCTTAGTGTTTGCCCCATTTAAGAAAAAGAGAAGGGAGAAAAAGGAGATGGAGACAGGGACGAGGGCCCCAACTCCATGTGGGGGCTGGGACCCAGAACACTGCGGTGTTCGCCAGCCTGGGGCGGGGGCGGGGGGAGGGGAGAGGGCGGGGAGAAGGAGGGGAGAGGGCGGGGAGAGGGAGGAAGGAGCTTCTTCTCTTGCTACGGGGATGGGGATCTCGGAGCAACTCCCGACAAGTTGTGACTAGAAACCCAGAAACGCCTAAGGCTTAGACCCCAGAGTGCGCCCTTTCACACCCAGCATCCCCTCTGCTCCTGAGAGGAAGTTGAGCTCCATGTCCCTGGGCTAAGTCGCACGCTGTCACCCGGGTTAGGGTTTTCCCACAGGGCATAAGGACGCTGATGCACATCTGTGGCATGTCACCTCCTGGCAGTGCTGCTGGCCATGAGGAAGTGTCCTGAGGTTACTAAGCAGTGTCATTAAATAACTAAAGGAAAACCCCAGGGGCGTGACGCCAACCCCTTGCAATCCCAGCACTCCAGGAGGCTGAGGCAGGAGGATTGCCACAAGTTCAGCCTGAACTACAACAGCGAGACCCTATCTCAAAAAAACCAAACAAATAGAAATTTTTTAAAAAATCAACTTTGAATGTTTTTGTATTAAGAGTTCCCTTGTGATTAGAAAGTTGTTTTGTTTTGTTTTGTTTGGTATTGGAGATTGAATTCAGGACCTTGCACTTGTGAGGCAGGCAGCGGAACCACTGAGCTAAATCCCCAGCCTGTGATTAGAGTTAACATAGATAAGTTATCCAGGCTGGCTGGTTTCCACCTTCCGATCTCCAGGGGACCGGAGAGACCCTTGCATGTTCTTGGTCTGAGGGATTCGTGCTTTGGTCACAGATGGGGACAGCGGCCTGTCCTACGGGGTCGGTGCTGTCCAGACCTGCGGGCGGGGGCCATGTCAGCCTTCCCTTCCAGGCTGAGTGCGGCAGGACATCGCCATGTGACCAGGACCCCAGAGAGCCCGGACTTGGAGACGCCATGAAGCGTCCCATCGAGGTCACTGTGCCAGCTTCACACAGCGAGGCCATGGGGGTCTTCTGGACCCATGGGGTGTGTGTTTCAGCTGCTTCTGCAATGTATATTTTGCTATAATAAATCTTAGCAGCAAATGTATAGCTTGCTATTAAAATTTGTGAGTATTTCCAGTAAACCTCTGAAATATGAGTATCAAAAAGAAAATATAGGGCCAGGGATTTAGCTCAGTGGTTTCGCTGCCTGCTGCACAAGCGCAAGGACCCGAGTTCGATCCCCGGTACCAAAAAAAAAGTTCCAAAAAGAAAATATAAATGATACAAAATCTCTCCATCCAGAGATAGCCATTTGTCTAGCTTTAAAAATAAATTCTGACCAAATCATCTTGCAAAACCCTATTTTTTTTTGAGACAGGGTCTCCCTATGTAGTCCAGGGTGGCCTCAAACTCACAACAATCCTCCTGCCTCAGCCTCCCAAGTGCTGGGATTACAGGTGTGCAACGCCATGCCTGGCCCTCAATGCTTTTTGTTTCAGCTTTTAAAGTGTGCATTTATAACTGCAATCCTTTCTCACAAGGAAATAGACTATTTTACTTTATAACAGACTACTATCAAGGGGCCAATAGAAGGCAGAAACAAACAACCCACCCTTCTCCCTCCGCCGAGGAAACGGAAAACAAAACAAAAAATTTCACGGCAGTATTTAGACTGGTGTTTGACCAAACCACCTAACTACGTTATTACGTGAATTAAGCCTCACAGGTTAGTTGTCTGTTTGCTGAGCAGGAGAGGGCAGATGAGCCCAAATCCGTGCCCCACGGCCCCAACCCCAGCCCTTGGTCCCCTTGGCCGCAGCCCGGCCAGCGCGACCCCGACCAGGAGAGGGCGCTGCCTCCCACCTGTGCTGCATCCCCATGGGAGCCAACGGGATGGGCGAGGCGGACGCTACTTTCCATTAATTACTTTTCACAGCGTTGGCATAGTCAGTGCTTGTGGACTTGTACTGCACTTTCACCAAAACACCGCATGATGATACTTAGGCCTTGTGATCAATAGGAGCCGTCCCTTGGCGTTCCTGGGGACAGACAGAGACACAGACACACACACGGCTTCCAGACCTGGCAAGCGTGCCCGAGGCTAGGGAGGGAAGAACCCGGGCGCCTGCCCTCTTGAGCCAAGGACTCATCTGATCCGGGTCCCTAATTAGAAACGGAAGCTCACATCAGGATAGGTTTTCTTTAGTTTTCATTAATAATTAAAAGGTTCCCTCCTGTGCTTGCAGTTTAATCACAGCTAGCATTTGTGCAGCGTGAGTCTTTGCGGAGGGCTTTCCCATCCCCGAGGAACCGGGAGGGTGCTAATTATTCCACTGCAGGTTTGCCTGGGCTCTGAAGCCACGCCTGGGAGGTGCCAGAAGCCTGCGCCTGCCCTTGGTCCCAAGTTCTTTTCCTTATCGTATGCTGTTATCTCCAGCACCCTTTCAAGCTGGACTTATGCACACACGGCACCCAGACTGTCCACTTCTGTGAACAGGGGCAAAAGAGCACTAGCCCACCTCTAACAGCCAACGCCACTCCCGCTACACTGCAGGGAAAAACAAGAAACTCAACTCTTTTTTTGACACAGGCTCTCACTATGTAGCCCAGGCTGGCCTCAAACTCACTATATGACCAACTACCTTGGCCGGCCTTCCCTCCAGTTTCAGGTCCCTCCTGGCCCAGTGGCACCACCAGTGGAGACCTCTGAGCCTTCCCCACCCAAGCACCACTGGTGGGGGACCCAGGGCCAACACGGAATGACAGAGGTCCAGAGTGGGTTTAACATAAGGCCAGCCAGGGAGCTCTCACCTCTTAGCAGGCAGAGGAGGCCTGGTCTGGCTCATCTTGCCTTTATTCACCCACACACGGGCATAAGCAATCAAGGTAACACAAGATTCATCTGCTTCCCAATATCATTAGTACACGCTCTGTAAACAACTTAAGCTCAGCTGTGTCTTTTTTTTTTTTTTTTTTACCGGGGATCGAACTCAGGATTTTAAAAATTTAAGAATGAATTTCTTTTTTTTT